ATTATTTGCATACATGCATCTCCTCTATTTTATAACAAGATGTGCGGTATGGGTGATCCACATTAGTAAGAGTTGTTTTTTGGTGCATAATAGGAAAGTGCGAGATGCCACAGGAGTGGACATCAACATGCGTGTCGGCGTGCATTCTGGGAATGTTCTGTGTGGTGTGATAGGACTCCAGAAATGGCAGTATGATGTTTGGTCACATGATGTCACACTGGCCAATCATATGGAGGCAGGAGGTGTACCAGGGTGAGTGAATGGGAGCTAAAACAGAAGCACTTGTCTCAGTTGCATATGGTAATATTGCATTATAATGTGGTGTCATTTTTTGAAATTCTTTGTGGTACCTTTATCACACTTAATGTGCATCAGTTTTGTCTAGTTGGTTGCTGTCAATCATTGCTAAAGGATACCAGAAGAATACCCATATGTATTTTTTATATTTATAGAAAACCATTAATTAATTGAATTGTTCATTGCCAGGCGAGTCCACATTACCTCAGTGACACTGGAGCACCTGAATGGTGCCTATAAGGTGGAAGATGGAGATGGACAAGAAAGAGACCCCTACCTGAAGGAACATGGAGTTATCACTTATCTGGTCATCAACCCAAAGGTACCCAAAGTCACATATGTCACATACAGTCAAATAGGATGATGAATAAAATGCAGTGAAATTACACTATTTTCATATCTGTCCAGGTGGAGCGTCGGAGCCCACAGCATCATTACCGTCCCAGGCACACTCTAGACGGAGCAAAAATGAGAGCCTCAGTCAGGATGACCCGCTACCTGGAGTCTTGGGGAGCAGCCAAGCCCTTTGCCAACCTGCACCACAGAGACAGCATGACTAATGAGAATGGGAAGATCAACACTGCTGTGTGTAATTTTTGCTACACATATGTTGTGATTTAAGTAATGAGGAAGTTCAGCTGAAGCTTGTAACCCATCTCTCTCCTCTTGCTCTGTGTCTAGGATGTGCCAATGGGGCAGTATCACTTCCAGAGGAGATCAGAAAGGCAAGCTGCTCGTTTTACAGATCCAGTACAATTTTCTTTGGCAAGATTATCCCCATCCCTTAACAGTACAGAGACATACGGCAGGGTGTTTAATAAGACTAGACTTCTGCTAGAGGCTTTGATGTGTGTGTGACTAATATTATATAAACTTAAAAGATATTCTGTCTCTTTTTCTTCTTGTAACCCATTAAAGGACGAAGTCTCAGAAGAAACGGTTTGAGGAGGAACTTCATGAGAGGATGATCAGGACCTTTGATGGGATAAATTCGCAAAAGTGAGGGACATTTAAAAAAAAAACAAATATTAATAGTTTTAGTATTGTGCTAAAAATAAGTATGTTCAGAAAGTTTTGGAACTTACAAGACTAATAAGATTTGCTGTTTTCTAAAACTGCAAACGTTAAAGAAAATGATGTCATGGATTATATCTTAGTATAATGAAAATTGTATTGAATTCCTACCTCTTCATAGCCCTATTTAACATTTGGAACAAATACTTGAATCTTCCATTTTGTTTGTATAAAAGATCTAATTTATTTTTAACGGTGCCTTTATTCTCCTTTTTATCTAATCTATTATGTCTTTGTGCTTCCAGACAGTGGCTCAAATCTGAGGACATCCAAAGAATATCATTATTCTTTCACAACAAATCCTTGGAGAAGGAGGTAAGAGGCAGTCAAAATACACTGGCATCATTCACCCCTGTAAGAATATATCTGAATAGTTATTTCAAAGAGAATTACAGAGCATATCATTTCCTTTTTCTATACTTAGCTTACCCCGAAATCTTGTAAATTACAAGGAGACATGTGGTGTGTTCATAGTTGAGGAGCTTTTGAAGTAACTTTAACATCACTTTTAAAAGCCTTTTGTTGAAACTTAACCTTCTTTTTATCTTTTTAGTACAGAGCAACAACCTTGCCAGCCTTCAAATACTATGTCACCTGCGCCTGTTTGATCTTTTTCTGCATTTTTATTGTGCAGATTCTCGTCCTTCCAAAGTATGTGTGCTTTATTTCAAACTATTATGGTAATAAAATTAACATAATAATGTAATCTGTGTTAGTATGGAAAACAGCATGTATATTTATTCTTATGCAATATACATTACTAAACTAAACGTTGCTTATGTCTCTGTGGCTTGACAAGTAATTTTGAGCTAAGGGCAATGCTAAAGATATTTTGCACAATGACATTAAACTTTGAGTGAGTTACAAACTGAAACACTTATTTTTTTTAGGACAACTGTATTGGGAATATCGTTTGGAATGGCTTTTCTTATCCTTTCTGTGATCCTCTTCATATGTTTCATTGGACACTTCCTGGTGAGTAAATCAATTTACTGCAAACATCACTGTTTTCGAAGTGTCCTTTTTATATTAAAACCTGTATTTAACCAGGCATGCCGGATCTCTAATGGAACACTTCTGTGCCTAATGTTTGTCTTGATGTCATACCAAGTGCCCCTCTGGTCAGCTTTATAGCCCATTAAGTACCCTTGTTGTTGGCCTAAGTGCCCTTGAATCCTGACCCATGTGCATGAAACAGGTGCTGCTTCTTCATTTCCCTCTGCTTTGGTGCGTGTTGCTAACAGTGCCATTAAAAGCCCTTTTAAAAGAGCAGGCGTCTGTTGATACTGCAACTGCAGTTATATCTAGCGACTGGAAGATAGTCTAGAGCGTCAAATCCTTCTTCAGCTTTCTTCTGTGATAGTCCTTGTCTAGTAAAGAAATGAAAGACCGGATGCCCGGTTAGCTCAGTTGGTAGAGCTGGCGACCCATGTACGGAGTTGCTGCAGCAGTGTGACTCAAATCTTAAGATTTTTCCATTAAAATCATAAAATAGGACTGTATAGTTTCAAAGTCAATCACACAGTCCCTGTTGGATCATTGTATGCTGAAGATGGTAAGATTTGGATTTGGATAGATAGATTTGAAAATCGGACAGTTGAAACCAGATAGTCAGTTGGATTTTCACAGTTGCAGTGAAAACACACCTGGCTTCCCTATGCATGTACTTAGTTTTTCCATTCCCAGTCACAAAATAAGGTTTTAACCCACGTAGCATTTCTTAGAGAAACCTTGTCAATGTAACTGAGGAAGGTCAAACATGGTTATTTAATGAACTGACTTGCATATTCTGCTGGTTCAATGACTGTGTAAATTGATATCTGCTACTAAAATCATCCATGGCAGGTTCTCTTACTTTGTCTTGTAATTCATATGTATCATTCAAGTGATGCATAGAATGATTTAAACTGCTGACCTAGAGGTGAAAACTGCATGCAAATGGCTTGTATTAACAAAATGATGTGTCCCACTAGCTCTATCTTTTTGGTTATCCTGCTGATGCATAATACAGTCTGCCATCCTCACTTAAATGTATTTTAATGTACATCCCTGAGCTATTCAAATGTCACATCCACTCAGCCCCTGTGATGCTCAGATATTGCTTTGAGATGATCAAGCAAATAATTTGGGCTTTCACTGTCATTGTCTTGCAATGAAAAACATTCAGCTGAAGGCATTTCTGCAAAGAGGAAAAAGTAATTGACTGTAACAGCCCCAGCCAGCATTTGCTAAAGCCTGGGAAGATATCATTTTTGCATCAATGAAAATGTAGTATATGAACATATTAATATCATAACACTATGGTGTGTGACCTGTTGAGTAATACTAGGTTAAAATGAAGAGCATGATTGGACAGTGTGTACAGCTCTTAAAAACATACAAACTTTTTGTAAAGCAGGTGGTGGAAGCTTGTTAACCAACCCCTTTAGTTTAGCTGCAGTCTGAATGGTTTGTTGGAAGCTGTATATGCTGTTTGCTTACATCATTTTGTCGGTGATGCAATCACTTGCAGTGCTCATTTTGTAATGCTGTTTTTGCATGCAGTTTGAACTATATTGCAGCGTGCACCATTCATTTTTTTAACTTTTTCTTTTCATTTTTAAACTGTACATTTTATTTTTTATATATATAATGTGTATATATATGTATGTGTGTATATATATATGTGTGTATATATATGTGTGTATATATGTATATGTGTGTATATATATGTATATGTGTGTGTATATATGTATATGTATATATATGTATATGTATATGTATATTATATGTATATGTATATATATGTAT